TATTTAAATTATATGTTTGCACAGTGTGGGCTGAGGGACATTAATCTCTGATTGGTTCAACATTTTCATTTAGTGTTGGCAGGATCCTGGAGTCGTGCAGACAAACAGGTTAAAGTGTCAGCGCAGGAAGAAAAACTGAGGGGAAGAGCAACGCCTCACCTTTGATTGCGTTTGGCTGAGTATGCAGTGCAGGCACAAGTTTAAATTAAGACTCCTCTTTCCTGTTGGCTTTCATCAACAGAAAATAATCAGGATTGTAAGAATAGATTTTGAAGTTGGGCTTTGTTAACTGTAGCCTTCTTTTACCAAATGGCCTGAAATAACAATGATCTCTGTTGATGTAGGTAGCACAGACTCAGTGCCTTATTTCCAGTGTACATGGATTATGAACCCAAGAGGCTCATTTTGAGACCAGAAGAAACTGATTTGACCTTCCTCAGCCTTTTATCTCATGTGTTTCCTTTAAGATTGTTAATGCAAATATTCGGCAAAGACTGGAACGACACATTACATAATGGAACAGGTTTCAGAGAACAAGGGTTATGCAGGTAATTCCTAGATAACCCTCTAATGAACGGATGTCTGCCATTGTACACCGTGGGCCAAATACTGTGATCAGAAGACAACTGGATCAGAGGAACTCCAAACTTAATGCCTCATATGTTAATAAAATAAGTTTTTCTACATGACAAAGATCTGTCAGCACAACTCTTTGGGCTTAAACCGTAAGAAATGTGAATAATTGGTAGCTCAGTTTTATCATTTTAGTACATTCTGGACAAAGTTTTTGTTCACTTAATTTTTTTTCTTTACTGTTGACTTGAGAAAAAAAACATACTTAAGTTTTTTTTTTAAATATTTCATTACTTTGGTGTATCATGAATGGCCACAGGGGAAGATCTTTGCTGAACTGGCTCCAAGGCCTCATGTTTGACACCCTATTGTATGTTAGTCACCAGTATTTTGCACTTAGTCACTTCAATCGCTTGCATCAAAGTTGAGAAAGGTTTCTAAGCAGTTTTACTTTTGCCAGATCTCGACTTTTTACGGTCTCTCGTCACAGCATCACTGCGAATCACTTCCTGTGTGGACGCAGCTTTATTCAGAGTTACAGAGGCTGCTGTTCTGTTGTTCTACACAAAGCTAATAAAACTGACTCCAACTTTAAGAAACGTGGCTGTCAGGTCATTTTAATCTGCTTATTGAATGAAGCAAACAGCTTCGAGTCATCCTCTGCTACCAGTCAGCAAGGCTCTGTACCAAGGTAGAAATATGTAGGTGCAACTTCAGATTTCAAATTAGTTGTTTATGATTTTTAATGATCTGTGTTTTAAGGACAAGGGAATCAATCATTCCTGTCAGATGCATTTTATGCACACTGTTTTTATAATTTGATGCTGTAGAATGTATTTATTTTCAAATAAACACTTTTTAATAACTTCACAGTTTGTGTTTTTCCATGTCTGTAAAGTCACACACGTACACAAACAAAAGCCAAAACCACTGATTACATCTGCAAATCCAAACCTTTATTTGTGGTAAAATCAGAATATTTGCACAGTTTTGTTTTCTTCGTGCAGTGCTCTTCGTGCACATCTGCTAAACTAATACATAAGCAAATACTAACTACCAGGCTGGTGCAGCTGCCCGTCCACACTATGGGGTCTGGCCATTCAGTAATGACGACAGCACTGGGCTTCATTTCAGTTCGCTCGCTAAGAGAACAGCAATCGTTCCTAAATGCACCTCAGCATCTGAATTTCAGATCACTTTAACAAACTGAACTTGAAATAAAGCCACAAAGTGTTTTGTTTTTGTGTGTCTTTCACGACACCCTGACAAAAAATACAATTACTTTGTTGCAAAATGTAGTTTGTGCATACAAAAGGCTGTAAAGTAATGGTTCACCTACGTCTGATATGCGTCAGTGATTGCTGAGGCTACAGTCTTTGGACAAATCAATCAGTCCCTGTGTAACTACAGTGGGTCTGTGCTTAGAGGAGCACCAGTACAAATGTCCGTTATATTACTGTCTCTCCTGCAGGTCAGATAAATACTGATCAGCTGCAAGAAGGGGAAAAAAATAATAAATAAATCCCCATTTCTGATTGGCCAGAAACACCCCTGTGACAGCTCTAACAACGCCTGAAAAGATGCAAACCACAACAACGGAGCAATAGAACCACAGTTAAGTCTGTGTTATGAAGACTTTAAAGATCGCCACTTGTTTTTGCCAGACATTCACAACAAGGGTATTAACGAGAAGGAAAAGTGTAAAGATTCAACAAAGAAAAGGAAAAATAAAACGACTTGGAGAAAATCTGGACACTTTTTTTTGTACTGCATGTTTTTGTCGTTTTTTACAAAATGGTCTTTGATCGTTAACTTGTTATTTTTTAATCCAAACCTTGGCATTTACGGTGGTATTTTCTCAATTTGTTTGCCGATTAAAAATGGCTGTTTATGGTTGATTATTATTGGCAATGAAGCCTGTCGCATAAACAGGTTTGCGGATGTGATACTGAGTCCAATGTGACTTTAAAGGTAACCAGTGGAGGCTGTTTCTCGTAACGTGTCGCCATCACATCGGCTGTAATCAACAATCTGTGGTACACCTCGAACCTTCATGTTACACCACATGCACATCTTTACACATTAACAGAAGACCTGAAGTTGGAGGTTTCAGCTGGGAGAAGAGTACTGTAGTGCTGGAAAACACTGGTGTTGAGCTTTACGCAGGGATACACAGGATACTGTGGCATCTTTAAACTGTAATTGGCAGAACTGACTGGACTATTTAGTTGAAATCGGAATTTTCAGGAATGACAGCATGAATACTGCCAAAAATAAAATCATAGGCATTGCGTAGATTCAGCAGATTTTAGGCCACATAGATTGATGGCTAGCGCTAAAAGGTAGGGTAAGTGCTAGTGTGCTAAAAATCTATAAACCAAGGGGCAAAAGTAATACAGGATGAAAACAACAAATGATAATGAAGGTTATTTTTTGAGTTTTTGAGTTATTTAGGTTTAGACTAAGTTGTGGACTGCTGATGCTAGCACGTCACAGCCATGTTGCTAGCATGGCCGATAACCAGGAAGCACTGAGAGTACCTCCACCCCCAGAGAACCCCCGGCTTTCTGAGGTTTAAACAAGCTGATCATAGAAGGTATAAAACAGATTCATTTTTCTGACTCAATAGCTACGTCCAAGACAGAAGTGCCTAAAACCTGCATTCTATCTGAAGACCACCAGATGGCGATAGCTGTGCTTGCTAAAAGAACGCTTTCCTGCTGAGTTATGGGCTCAGTCACTCATTCAGTTTAATGTTTTTTAAGTCTATTTTGTAAATCTTGGTCATAATATGCTTCCAAAAGGATTATCTATGGTACACCTAATGGTAATCATTCACAAATTTTTAGCCAATGAGCAAGCAGTCTCAGTCATCTGTTTTTTTGTTTGTTTCTTTTTAAATCAAGATGGTAAAAGTGAAGATGCCAATATTAAGACTTCAAAGTGGGACTTGGGGATCAGATATATGGGCCAGATTTGCCTGATAAAATTCAGTTTCATTCTTACAAGTTAAATAAAAAAAAAATGTAAGGAAGAACCGTGGCTGCAAAAACTGCCCAGTTAAAAAAAAGAAAAGATGTGCACACAGCATAGGAGCTAGGTTTTAGGGTTTTTTTGTTGTTTTTTTTTTAATGGTCTTACACAAAATATATGCATCTGTATTTATGAAATGCAGGTGGTTTTTGAAAATTACAGCCACTGTTGAAACCCAGCCTTGCTATGGTGAGACGCTGACGGAGAAACGCTCCCCCACGTCGCATCTTTAACATTAAAAAGCTCACACTACCCCAGAAAAATAGAAATTTTTCACTCATACCAATGACATTCAACATTCAAGTGCCAGTGTTTTTGTTTACTGTCTTTTGGTCAAGTCACTTTGTAAAATATCAGCTTTTGTATTAGGCATAGAAAAATAAATATTTCTCAAAAATGCTTGATAAATTACACAAACTTGCAGTGAAAGTAGACTCAAGAACTCTGTGTGCAAACAGCTGAATCCTACCTTTGCTGTTAACTAGAACTCCACCTGGTCCCCAAAAAAAAAAAACAATTAAAAATTAAAAAAAACTAAAAACAAAAATTCTCAAAGAACCTTTGCGCGCACACACACACACACACACACACACACACACACACACTTCTTATTTAACATCTCTACACTGTCTTCACACTCACTCTCAGTCGTACCTCTTTAGGATTAAAGGACGTGTGCTACAGAAGACTTTTGTTGAAGTCTTTTGTGTAAAACTCAGTGGTCTTTCTATAACGGAGGGGGCCCTGCAGGCCGCAGCAATGGAAGCATAGCACCATTAATTGTTCTCTGACCATCAGTGCTGTCTGTATCACAGGTAAGTTTGCTATCAGCTCCATTAGGGCTGGGTATCACCCTTCATTTAAGGCATCAGAAGGTTTTGGGAAATAAAAAAAACAAAAAGAACTAAAGTGCTGGATCAGTTTTGCAGGAAGTAAACAAAGCATTTTCTGCATGACACAAACTTTTGTGTTTTTTCTTAAACTTTGTTTACTGCTGAAAGTGTGTGAGATAGTTAAGGTACATGCAGTGACACTAGCAAGACGCTGGTGATCCGTTAGCATGTAACAGTAGCACTGTTTACCATGTTACATGAGCATGTTACCAAGGTAGATTTGCTAATTAGCAGACGAAGAGTTTTGCGGTATTTTGCCAAAAAAATGAAGTCTTTCAGAATTCGTAATTGTGAGGACCAACGCGGTAGATAAAGTGCCTGATCTACATTCCTATCCATAATGCCCTGCTGCTCATATTTTCTCAAAAACGTAACATTAGCGGCACAAAACTGCAACATGTCCAAGTTTTAGCACCAGGAATCAGCTGTCAGTCAGTAAAAAATGTGCCTGAATTGTTCCGAGTCAAAAGCATTTACATAAAGTTTTAATTTTTTTTTTTATCCCCGCATCATTACAGCATCTGACCGAGCAAACATTCCTACACTAAAATAAAATAATCAAAAATTTTGCAATAGTTTGAAATACCCAGCCCTAACCAACAAATTTCAGTCTTTAGTGATTCAGCCACTTCAAAAGGCACCGTTCACATGTGAAACTCTGGGCTATTTCACATGTGCCAGTTTGTACTCGAGCAGAAAACTCGCGCAGAGAATCGTGGCGACCACACAGCGAAAGCAAGCCACAAGTTACTGAACTCTATTGCACTTGGGGTAAAAGTTCAGAGGGTTTTTTCCCCCCCCTCCACGCAGGAATTTGGGGGCACAGTGGTATTTAAGTGTTGCTCTAACACAGCTCAATGGTAAATACAACTGACAGGTAAAACCAGCCTGCCCTAGAAAAACACTGAAATACATTGCATATTTATGAACAACACTATTTGACACGATTGATCTACAAAGCAAGAGGTAAACTGAATTTTTACTCTCACAAGTCACACTGCATTTAAAAAGGTTCACCGGTTCCTTGAATTTTTTTTTTTAAAACAGATTCTCAATGTGCCGCCAAGCGCTTGTCAGAAGGCACAGCAACATCTACGCAACCACATCCACTCAATGGATTCGCCTGCGACGCCGCATGCCTGCAGCGTTGGTAACAAAACAAATGGGACTACATTAAGCTTATGGTCAGCAGAAGCCACTGATTCAAGTAAGAAATGCTTTCACACAGGGAAAATCAGTCAGCAGTATCCGACTGCCAGTTCAGTCAGTAAAGTTCCTCCTACAGAGTTTTAAAGGTTGAAGCTGATTTTATAACAATGCCAGCAAGACAGCTATTTAATAAAACCTCTAGGTGTGAAAGTGCAACTTAAAGACTTCTGTTTGTGTGTGAAGGGAGTTCTGTGATTGTCATTAGCAACTTGCTGTCCTGTTTCCTGCTTTTTCATTCCTTCAATGCTTTGCAACAGCTCTTACAAGAAGTCTGCAGGAGAAAGTAAAATGTTTCATGACCTCAAGAAGAAAGCTGATCAGTAAACAGGTGCTTTAAAAAAAAGAGAGAAAAAAAATCATCTATTGGGACACCTCTGACAGTTCTGGTCAACATTTGAATCACCGATTCAACCGCCGCTCATAGTCATTAAGCCCGTGTTAGACTGCAGTCTCAAACTTAGTGACAGCTGCGACAGTAACTGTTTATCTGACCCGCGCTGGAACAGCAGCTGAAAAGAAAACTCAAATTTCCTGTTTTTGGTTCGTTTGTAAATGCATAAAAGGGACAGGTGGACATCGAGGAGTACAGCTGAATTCTATCATTCCACAGCCGTCCTTGAATGCAGCATTGTTCCTGGCCCCTCATTTTGAGTCAGACCAGGCTTAGTGAGATATCGTACAGTTATATTTGACTGGTGTCTTTTAGCACCAGAAAAGCTTCTGGAAAAATCTACTTTGTATATTTAGTAAATGAACAGCCAACTGCTTTAACCCCTTCAAACTCTTAAGGGAAAAAAAATGCTGTTAAAAAAAAAAAAGTTTCCCCAACATCCCCCTCAAATGTAACCCGAGGGAAAGGGAGCTTAAGACTGATTAGAAGAGGCAAAAAATCAAAAGCAGGAAAAAACAAACGAACTATGATATAAAATAAATAACTGCAACATAATTAAAGCCTGCTATAGAATTGGATTCATCTGCTTGGCATTTGAAACTTCTTGACCAAAAAACAACAACACTTGAATATGTTTTACAGTCTTGGTCCTGCTTTGTCAGAGTCAGTGGGCAGTTTGAGGGTTAATCCACCTGGTGCGCATTAATTCGGGTGAATTTATGTCTATACAGACGTGGGTATTCTCTTGAAAGAATACAAGCTTTTGTCTTCGAACTTTAGTCAGCGGTGTTCAAACTGCCCACTGTGCTAAGCTCACCAGACCCGTCTTGGTCTAGTGTTGAGTGATCAAGTGTGACTCTCATGCACACCAAGTGTTATTTAACTTCACATTCTTTTTCTGTGGAGATTCCTCTCTGTTGAAACTATTTACATTTAATCTGAGTTCTACATGTAAACATAACTAAATTAATCCACCCCCACACTGGAGTAACAGAGCTTTTTTTGGCTCTTAATAGGCCCAGTTTGGGGGGGTGGGAGTAGGAGGAGGATTGGATTTCTACCACTGAACCATCCAAATGTTCAGCGGAGATCCCTTTTCAAGTTCAATCAGGGACGAAACATGGACATCCTGGGTCAACAGGCCCCTTGAAGCCTGGTTGCAAAGCAGAGCCAAGTAGGGATAACCAAGGATTTAAATGCATGCGATCGGTTCTGTGCAGCAACTTTTCCACAAGCACAATTTACCCTGACAGTTTCTCACTGTGCTGAGCAGAGTTGGGTTTCGCATTCAACAATCGCGGCGGGACGCTGTCATCGTTTATTAATGTGCAGCACGTGCTGGGACGTGTCGTGCATGCAGAAGGTGAATACGTTGTAATAGCTGCCAAGACTGCCAGTCCAGATAGCAAACTACTCTGGAGAGTGGACGTGCATCAGTGCGAAGAAGTAGGAGTGTGGCCCATCTGGGAGCTCTGTGGGCTGGGTGGTAAGTGTTTTGAAAGCAATCATATGCTGCCAGTGTACGGCTGTTGTGCGCGTTGGCCGAAATCTAGTTTTGTAAACATTTCATCGAGGAAGTGACTTCAACACTGAGAAACACTATCTGCTGACTGAAAGCAGTAGTAAGAGGAGGAATTGGACCGAGACGCGATTTTGCGCTTGATTACAGTTGCACACGTGGCTAAAACGTGCTGTAGATACGATGCATTGCATTCCTTGGGAAGCCCCAAGCTGTCTCTGCAGTGAAATTAATTCGTAAGGATGATCCAGTTCTTCACTTTTAACGCCCGACTTCAACAGAGCTTAAAAGACCTAACAGAATAAACTGGAATGACTACTTTTAGAGAAGACTCTTCATGCAACTCTCCAGGATAGAGTGAGCGAGAAAATTTGGACCTCTTTTTAGTTTGCGTATTTCCCCCCTCAAGAGAAAGCTTCTCCCAAAACAAGGGTTTCAATGTTTGTGGTTAAAAGCAGCGGTAGATTCCCAAGAGCATGATGGCACTAAGAGTCAGCTGAACGGCCGCAGACACCGACACAATCTGGGAACTGTTTTCAGCAGCAGCCATGTAGTGTTTTCTAAGCAAAGGTGTTTCAAACTGTGTAGCGGTTACAGTAATTTAATATGACTCGAGTGGCACCAGACTTTGGCTTTTTTTAAAATTACAGCAAGCTATGAGGAATTTGACATTTACGGCTACATATCTGGATAATAAGAGGGGGAGGAGCAACATAACGTGACTGCTGCTGGCCCTGTTAGTGGCACACAGTGACCCAACAATTAGTGACAAGATGGCTTTGAGAAACCAAACTGCAAGCTCAAAGCTGAGCTATAGATGTGACACAAGTGTCAATGAGTAGGACTCGGGTTCCCAAAAGCATACAGCCACTGTGGTCGGCCCTGCTCGTCGGCTCTTTGACTTTAACAGTACGATTAATGTTATTTTTGACCCATTTTATATTTACTCATCCAGAGTGAGTAAAGTAATCCACAAATATGCTTACAGTGGTTATATGCTTTGGGGAATTAGCTCAGTCTCTAATAGACAGATAAGGAAATGCTTTGAGTTTCCTCATCGTAGTTTTAGTTTAGTTTTTTTTTTGCCAAGGTTTGATTTAGTTCAAGCCTAGTTTGCTTCCTTCCAAATAAAAATAAAGAAAACATATTTAAACCAACAAATGACACTGAATACACACTTTTAGTCACCGTGGGCCAATACTTGTGGACAGTTAACGTATTACGGCAATAAAAACAATGGAAATAAGAGACAAAGTTTAAATTCTTAAAGGCACAGTACAGAAACAAATGATTCTCCATAAACACTTATCTTAAAATTAAACAACAAACCAAAAAAAAAATGCTATTTGCAGTAACAACCATAAGTCCTAAGACTGTCTGCTTTCCTCACTGCTAATGGCCGACAGCGCCATTTCAGTTTGTCCAGCCACTCGTCTCTTTGTTAGACATCTGTGTCAGACCTCGATAAAGTTTCATGTTTTAAAAAAGGTGAAAAAAAGAAAAGATTTTGTTTCTGTGGCCTCCAATACGTGAAGGCCAGTATTTTTGAATTTATACGCAGACATGTTTTGCTTTTATGTCCTGCCTATAGCTATATTTTAGAAAAGTTTTTGGCCAGCGATTTACAACATGGCCGTGCGTTAAATACAAAGATGACATGAGGTCACGCGGGGAGTGTAAATGCAGACGAAAACACAGTGAAATCAAACTCAAATATAAGGTGGGGGGAAATAAAGAAAGGATTTCCCCCTCTTTGAAGAAGCCCACACGCTGAAATCTCAGGGAATTAAACACCCAGGTCTTTTTACCAGCACACGTGTCACAGAGGGAAAATGGTCTTAAGGTGGCTGCTAGCTGGAAGCTAACAAGTAAGCCTGTGTCCAGTGTTTAAAAAGTAAACAACTAAAATTCAACAATCTCTTCATAATGTGGTCTTTTTCAAGAGGAGAAAAGCTAAATTTACCAAAACAAAAAAGGTGGACATAGAAAGCACAAGAAAACTCTTCCAACGACTTAAAAGACATGAAGGATGGGGATGGAAGCTACATAAATGAGCATAAATAGTTTAATAACATGCATGGGGGTTTCTTGGGGTTAATGGTGGTAACAAGACAGATGGGATGCAGACGTCAATGTGGAGAAAGAATGGAGGATGAGTGAGAAGAGGAAAGAGGGATGAGCGAGGGAGGGAGGGATGGAGAAACCTAGTTGCCCCACCAGTCAACTTGAGAGTGTGAGTAGTTTCCTCCGTAGCCATCGCTGGTGTAGAAGTTGCTGAAGCCGCCTGAGAAGACAAAGGGAAGAGAAAAAAAAAGCCTTCTTAATCAAGTAAAACTTTTGTAGCATTTCATCGCCCAAGTATCAGAAATTAGTGTTTCCAGGCAAAACAAATCTCTATAATGCAGGTCTGGTGTAAAACATTTATCCTGAATGTGCAGTTCTGTAAAACAATAATTCGCACTGAATATATTTTGCCCAACTCGCCATCAAAATATATTAAAAGTACAACAATTGTTACGATTCGGTGTTGTCAGTGTTTTGTTTTAGGCGTGACTGTTATGTTTCCTGTTTTACTTTGAAGGTCTGTTGTATCTCAGTGTGTTCAGTTCACCTTTTTTGTCTCGTCAGGTCTGATTTGCCCCAGCTGTGTTTCCCTCCTGTGGTCCATTCCCTGATTGCTCCCTCTATGTATTTAAGCCTTGTGTTTCAGTTTGTGATGGTCGCGATCTTCCCCCCCCCCGGTTGTAAATAATTTGGTGTTTTGATGTAAATAGTTGTCGATACTTTCGTTTTGGGATTTTTTTTTTGTGGAGACCCGTAGTAGTTTTTTTGTTTTCCCTTATTTTTATTTTTCCTGTGTTGCACGCCGGTTGCCTAGGCCGGGGTGTAACACAATATATGGCAAACTCAAGTGCTCTTCTTTTATTTCTCTCTATACAAGCTCTCAGAAAACGGGAAAAAAGTATCCTGGGGGGCCTAGTAAAAAGCAACACAATGAACACCATGTGACTACAATCATGTGCACAATAATCACCCTACATCAGGGGTCTCAAACTCAAATGAGCCGCGGGCCACTTCTGGCACCATCATCTCATTGGAGGGCCACTTTAGTGTCCAAGTAGTACAAAAAAAACCCCAAACAACAAGTGTTTTGTTTGTTTTATTCAATTCCAAAAATTGTGTAACAAGACAAAATTGCAAACATGAACGCAATTTTATTCTCACTCTCAACTATCTGAAGCCTTTCAGTTTCATTTGTCATATGCAAGTTAGCACAGGGTCAACATTGCAATGAAATGTATTTGACGAGCAGAAGACAGTCACTCAGCAGTGTAGTACAGTAGTTTCATTGAACTACCAAATAAACAGCTGGCAGCACTTTTGTTACAATGTAGTTTGTATTTAACAAAATAAAAATGCAGACATAAGCGTACACATTAGTTTTTGACTGCAAGAGAAAATTGTTTTCTTTCCAAATAAATCTCTCACTGAACTAACACAGCCCGCAACATGTTTGCACTCTCTTGTTACCTCGGCCAGGTCCACGGCTCCGAACCGCGGTAAGGAGACCTCTGGCTAATACTTTGGGTTCCGTGTCGTGCTCATAGCCGGGAACTAGCTTTACTGTCTGGGTCAACTTTGCTAGCGAGAGACAGAGAGAGGCATTGAAAGGCTGCTCCAGCAGAACTTTGTTTCGGAGGAAAAAACGAACACAGCGTACAGTCGAGTCTCAATAGCTTACTTACAACTGGGCTCGTCAGGCACTCTTTTTGGCTGCAGTGGTTATTTTTATATTTACATGCTTCCAGCTCCCGTTTCTGCTCGGTAGCACCCTCCCTCCCTCACGCTCACACAGAGAAAAGCGGGAGGGGCGGTCCCACACATTCGCCCTGCAGCACGGACTACACCGCCCGTGAGGCTACAGTCTTAACCCTTTAAAGCCGGTCGGAGCGGGCACGCTCCGTTTTGCGTAGCTATTTTTAAATCCCAGTAGCACTGCAACCACGTAAGCTTGCCTTCGGTCACAGTTTCCTTCCACATAAAGCTTTGCAAAAACTGCATAAAAAGCACCTCCAGCAACAAAAACATAATATTCCAGAAACACGCTTTGCCGATCAGATCAGCTGTTTGTAACACTTCCTACATCCATCAGCGCGAACTATCGCATGTTCGCCATGACCTGCCCGAAACCGGAAGTGAAGTCATTTTGCAGAAATGTAGTTTTTCACCATCAGGGCCTCATGAGCCTATACTTGTGTTTTTAAAAGTTATGTTTGACTTTATGACTTTCTGTGTCGTTTCTGGGATGCTTAGGACTCATATTGCACTGCTGGAAATAGTTTATTTTGATGCATATGCTGTTTTTTTGCAAATTTGCATTATAATATTTATTTTCGTTTTTCCTGCAGTATATAAAAATTGGTGTATTTCAAAAATAAAACTATGAAGACACTCAAAATAAATTTCCTGTGGTGGGAAACTATTTTGTGCAACTTTTTTGTATTTACAGTTTTGAGGGATAAGCCTCTTAAATTTCTCTAACTAGAAATATATGTTAAAAAAACAAAAACGATTTTCAATTTTTTTGTAGTTTATTGCACTTTTTTGCAATTTATGTAATTACTATGCACTTAATGCAGATATATTATTTAAATTTGGGCTATAATGGTTGTATTGATGTATATCAACTTGAAATGCTCCCAAAAATGGCTTCACAGCATGTAAAAATATAATATAAGCTCTGGAGGACTTGGTTCTATGCTAGGTCTTAAAGGGTTAAAGGGCCATGCCTGTAACACTCTGCCGTCGTGTTAAATCATTTTTGGTAAAATAATTTCTTTCTTCACATCAATATGCGGACCGCGAGTTTGAGACCCCTGCCTTACATTAATAATAAATTTCTATCCAAAGATCAGAGCCTCACCTCCTCCAAAGGCACGGTTTCCTCCATGTCCTGCCTGGCTGCGTCCTCCTCCACGTCCTCCAAACCCTCCGGCGTTGACTCCTGCAGCAGTCTGACGATAATCTCGTGCTCCAAACCCGCCAGAGAACCTGTGGGATAAAAGAAAAATAAATAAATCAGTGTTTAGGGATTCTGATTAGACCAGCAAATGTCTTAATACTTATAACAAAAACAAACATTTGCAAGTTAAAGACAGAATCTGTGTGTGTGTGTGTGTGTGTGTGTGTGTGTGTGTGTGTGTGTGTGTGTGTGTGTGTACCTACCTCTTAGAGCGCCCTCTATTACTACTCTTGTGCTGGTGTTCATAGGCCAGGCTCTCGAGCCATGAGGGAACTTCCTGTTTGGCCTCTACTAGGATGTCCAGGAGGTCTTTAGTGATGTTCCCGTTTTTGTCATTGAAGAATGATGTTGCCAGCCCTACAGGAAACAGAAAAAAACCCCAAAAAACACTTAAAAACAGGAGACATTTTTTGAAGCAATATAAGTAAGAGCAGTAAATGGGGTTCATCCTAAATCAAGAGGATGCTTCCCTTAAATCACATTACTTATAGCCTTACCCAGGTTTCCTACTCGTCCCGTACGTCCAATACGGTGGACGTACTCCTCTATGTCGCTTGGCAGGTCAAAGTTAATAACATGTTTCACGTTGGAGATGTCCAAACCCCGAGCTGCTACCTGAGATCACAAAAACAGGAGCAGATACTTTAAAAACTCACACCTTCAGTTTTATGTCGATTGTGGTTGTCAGTTAACAGAAAGGTTCCTCTTGTGGTTCACCGTAACGTGCAACCAACAGGATGTTTTTACTGACCGCTGTAGCCACCAGGATGGGACATTTTCCTGATCTGAACTGGTTCAGGGCCTCCTCTCGATCTCTCTGGGAACGATCACCATGGATACTGGTGCAGGCGTAGCCTTCCCGATATAGGAAGTCCTCCAAGGCGTCTGCACCTTTCTTGGTCTCCACAAAAACCAGGGTCAATGAGTCCTTACCTGGTCAACCAAGAGGGGGAAACACTGGGTGTTAATGCTACAAAGAATAAAACAACTGTAGGGCTGCACTGTGTTTGGACTAAATAAAGACTGAGTTTAATAATCCTGCGCCACTATGACTCTGGCTTTATGTAGCAGACATACTGGACCAAATTGTGGAACAAACAAATAATGAAGTTACAGTCATGCTGGAATTATATAGAATTTAAGTGCACAAGCAATTATGAGAACCAAGCACATAAATTAAAATCCATCCCTGATGGCCTAGCCTGCTAAACTGACCTTTAAGCTTCTCAGTCCACTACATGAGATTGATTTGCCTTCTAGCCAATGGGATCAGTTAGCATCTAAATGAATCATACAATTTTACGTGTGAACGGTTTTCTGCTGCCATGCACACATAAATCAACGCCCTTGATTGTATATGAAATCCTCCATAGCACATCAGTTAGTGGGTTTGTTGCAGCAGCCCTGTATACAGATCATATGTTTACATGTATATACGTGTGTCAGTCCATGGGGTGACTAACATGCAGGTTTCAGGGTTAAATCTACCAGCATTACTTTACAGCAGATGTTGTTATATGAGCAGAACAGTGCAACAGGCAGCAGGAGGTGCAGTGTGGGTAAAATGACCAGCAGCAATGTGTTTTCATGCAGATTTCACTAGAGGCACTGATGGAAAGATTCTGGTCACTGTATTCTTCCCGCATCAACATCATCAATTGACCTACACTTATATCAAAAGTTAGATACACGGCAACACACGAACACAACATGACCAGACTCTCTCCATTAAAGCTATGGGTTTGACCTAAAGACATCACAGCAACATACTTTAAAGATGACAAAAACAACCTTAAGCTATAAAATCAAACAACAGGCATGTTTAATTTCACATGAGGACCCGACGTGTGAAATGGGACACAGAACCTAAGTAAACATAATAAACAGGAGATTCTCCATCCACGAAAAAAAAGAACAGAACAGTAAAGTCGAGCAAAATTATTTAAAATATGAAATGACAGATAAAAGTTTCCTGTTTGAGGATCTTACCAGGTTTCTCTATGTTGTCTCCAGTACTGTCCTGTACCTCACTTGGGATGGCTTGGGATAAAACCACAAACCACTGACATGTAAACTCCAGTTTGAAAGCAATGCTTGTGTGTCTGATATTGCTGATTTAACAGAGGTTTAAAATGTTGCCATATAATCACTAACAAAACAATAAGGTTGTTTTCCCAGCCACAAACAATTAAAAATCCTCTTTTTCTTTTTTTAAGTTCAGTCTGAAGAAGAAGATATTTTGTAATAAAAATAGACTACTGCCATCTGGAGGCAAATATAATCCAGGAAACACGATGTTTCTTGCCAACTACCACAAATATAGAAAGAGCATCTTTTAAATTAGAGGTTTTAAACCTTTTTCAGAGCAGCCTACAGGTATACATCTTCCTAATTTCACACACAAACATATCTAAGTGAAATTTTCACTGAAAGACAAAGGGTGCTGATGGACATTACACTGTGCTAAGCATGGGAAACACAGTAATGTATTGGTTGAGATGTGAGGATGACAATATGATGATGACCATAAGACAGGGGAAATAAAATTGCACTGTGTGTGTGTGGCTCGAGATAATTGCAGATAAGTCTACTCAGGCTGCAATCAGTATTTATGTTATGTGTTGGGACATGTGGCAGTTGAGCTGAGATCGGCTCACCTGTAGCGCTTAGCAGGTCCAAGAGGAAAGACCGCTTATCGCTCTCTTCCACCCACACCACTTTCTGCGTGATGTTCTCCGAGGTGGAACCCACTCTGCCCACCGCCAGGAAGATGTAATCCTCCAGGAAATCCCGAGCTAAGATCTGCAGGATGAGCAAAATATGTGCTTAACACAACTGTTTTGCACCGTCTGACTAAACAGATGGAAAATTTTACATCTTTAAAATGAAGCACTGATCACCATGTGAATGCTTGCTGCACTTTTCTTTATTAGTAACGGGCGGATTAAAACAAAAACAAACAAAAGAAAAAAGAAGAAGAGGAAGAAGAAAAGTTCCAATTTCTATCACAATTACTGCAGATAATGAAGATATACCTGGATTTCTTTGGGAAACGTAGCGCTGAACATCATAGTTTGTCGGATGCCTTTAGGAGGCATGGTGTCCTGTTCGACGATGCGCCGTATCTGTGGTTCAAAGCCCATGTCCAGCATACGGTCAGCCTCATCTAGGACCAGGTAGCTAAAGGAGACAGAAGAAAAGAGTTTGAAATTTGGAAAAAATGAAACAGACATTTACCCATCACTCACTCCTCGCGTTTAGGTCTTACTTGCAGTAGTCCAGTCCAATCTTCCCTCTCTCCATCATGTCCACGAGTCTTCCTGGAGTGGCCACCAGCAGGTGACAGCCTCTCTCCAGGTCTCTGATCTGCTGGCCAATGTCTGCTCCTCCATACACAACACAGGGACGCACTCTGGAGCGGTAGGAAAACTAACAGGAAAATACAACGTTTTAACAATTACACACAAATTTAAAAATCACATCATTAAATAAAATTATTACACACTAATGTGTTTAAATACCTTCCTTGCTTCATCATATATCTGCAGTGCCAGTTCTCTGGTGGGAGCCAGCACCAAAGAGATGGGGTACTGCTTGCGACGGCCATACTTTCCATTCTCCTGCAAAGCAGCAAAGACACAACATTTAAGTCTCACAGCAACAAACGTGATTGACAACAGAACATGTGGAAACCTATCAGGGACTAGTCTGACTCCTGAGAGCAAAAATCCCCTAAAGGCTTCACAATGTAAATTGGGGGAGAACTCGTGTAACAGGAATTACCTGACAATTATCAGAGACGTGGCACTCAAATAATTCCCGATTTAAAGTTCATGGAATAATTCAACAACAGTGAAGTTAGCCGAATAAAAACTTCCAGAGGAAAGAAAGACAAGCTTTAAAATCAGACTTACCTGCTGATAATTTTCTTTCTCAATAACAGCTTAAATTAAATTAGACAAAATAACTCCCTAAATAGGTGCCAGGTGTCATATCGAGATGGCTGCTGACAGGTAGGACTTGTGTCTTAAAGGGTTTTGCTTTTCTTTAACTGCTGCTTGTTTTGCCTCTTCTTTGATGGTCTAGTATACTACTGGTATCAAAAAAGATCAACTTAAGCAGGTCTGCTTGTTTGTTGCAGTGACTGAAACTCGTGCTCACCGTTTGTAGTAGCATATGAACAATACCCATTCATTTGTAGAAGTGTGCACGTGCCTGAAATTAATGCTTTTATTTTTAATCTGGAGGATATGCTTTAATTAAATTACTTTACCATGAAATCCCCCACAGCACCTGAACCATTTGTTTTGCCCCTTTCAAAGCCATGATGAAATTAGCTGTTTTTAACTAGATAATATTGATTTTTCTCTTTTACCTGTCCTGATGCTTTAGCTGCGTTAAGGGCCTCTCCTGGTCCATCAGTGTAGATCTGGCTGAGGACTGGCAAGAGGAATGCTGCCGTTTTCCCAGAGCCTGAAACACACAAGGACAGCCTCATCCATTTCTGCTGTTCCTCTCATCGACCCAATTCCAATATTTTGTTATGTTTGTGCACTACCTGTCTGTGCGCAGGCCATGAGGTCTCTCTTCGATTTAATAATAGGAATGGCGTATTTCTGGACAGGAGTGGGTCTGGTGTAGCGACTCAGAGCAATGTTACCCATGATAATCTCACCCATGTCCACGTCTTGGAACTGAGATCACAAACAGAAACATGTACAGAAAGAGCAAAGAAAAGCAACAGTGCAGCTGGTATCTGATACAATGTGAGTAACTCACACTCTCGATGTGCTGAGGGCAGTTCTGTCCCGTGGCCTCAACAGGAATGTCATCGTATTTCTCAAAGTTAATCCCAGTGTTACTGCCAGAGAACAATTCACTACAGAGAGAGCAGCAAAGGTTAGTCGAAGGCTCTGGAACTTTATTGCTCAGAGTAACTGCAGCAATTTCTTGGGATAATTTATCTGAATGACGAATTTTAAAAGAATAAAAACCTAGCATTATTTTTACTGGGGCTGGTCAGACATTTGAATTTATCATGTGTCAGGTAAGGGAAATGCTGCAGAACCATAACAAAGTTAAAGATGCTTCCATATTGACATCAGACTAGAAACTTGCAAATAAGTTAAGAACGAATGTCGTTAAGATGACAACTGGAAATAACAAAACGTCAAAGAATTTGCTTTCACCTTCCTGTGTTTTACTCTGTTACACAAGAACCAATGAAATCCCAACAATATGACTCAGTCTAATAGTGAAATTACACTAGTCTAATAATCTAATTCTGTGGACTAATTTTTAACTTTTGCAAAGTTTACCTGAAATTTCCTGATCTTACAATAAATCACAATAAATTAGAAAGTAGACTACACCTCCCACAGCGACTCAAAAGCACAGACTCACTGTTCAAGGCGTTCGTTGCGAGGGGTTGGTTTGGACCAGTCTCCGTCATCTCTGGATTCCTCCACCCAGCGGCTGTTTCCTCCTCCTCCTCCTCCATTACCAAATCCTCCATGCTCAAACCTGAACACAGCACACACACACACAATGATGAATAATGAGGCAACCTTCTCCAAATTATAGAACCACAGCTCTCCACTTAACATTTTTTGGGTAATAATAAACCATTTTAAGGGTTCACAAGAGGGTCGTTTTTTAGCTTTTATAGTAAACATGGGAATTTTCTGTTGACGCTGAACATAAGCTCTCAACACTGTATGTGATCCACTCACCTTCCTCGGCTAGCGTTGCCTCTGTCATTGAAGAAAGCAGACTTTCCACGGTTATTGCCAAAACTGCTATAGGCGTCCTTGGCAGTGTTCCAGCCACCTGCGTCTAAAAGGAGAACACCACAAAACTATCAGGTTTCGACAGCTAGCAGACGCATCCAGTCATTCATGTAGTGGAGAGGCAGGTAAATGAGCACATACTGGATGCACGAGCTAAGTAAAAGAAATGTTGGAAGCACTAAAACTGAATCGCACCTTTATTTTCATACCCAGCAAAGCCCATTGGCTGTGCTGGGTTAATGGGGTTGAAGGCTCCACCCCTGTTGTTGCGGTAACCACCTCCAACGCCACCTCTTCCCCGCTCCATGCGAGGCGGGCCACGGTTAAATGAGTTGCCCGTCATGCGATTGTCGTGGTAGCCGTTGACAAAGTTGTTGCGCGTGCCGTCCCAGCCGTCTGCAGAGAGGAAACAGTGCACAAAATAATTAATAAATACCATCACACCTGCAGGAACATCGTCTTCATGACCATCACTGCTGTTATTGGTGGAGCGCTGGCAATACATGCTATATGGGCAAAAGTATTTGGCTACACCTCTTACATCTTTTCAATTCAAGTGTTTTCAGTCCCATTGTCACGAGTGTAAAACTCGTAAAGTCGCCAACGCTTTGCTGACTCAGCAAACCTCCTCTAGCATTAACATCAGCACAAAAACTGCGCTGGGAGCGTCATGGTATGATCAACAGCTTCTGTAGGTGTAATGTGTGGGTGGCCCAGTATTTTGTCCATATAGTGTTGTTTCAGCATACCAATAAAACACCAGCGATTATATTTTAGCCCTTTTTGACATCTATCAAATTAATTTCTAATGAAAAATGTACTTTTGTGAAAAGGTAGGAAATTAGATGCATCAGGTCAAAATGATTAAACAAACCAACTCAAAGAAGCACTTTCAGATGCTTCTGCTGCTGCTTCCGATATGCAGCCGCACTTAAATGTTAAGGTATTCACTATGAACTGATCAATAAGTCAATTTACAAAAAACAACAACAACTCTAAAATCAATATTAAAAAAAAAGACCAATTCCCCAACTTCTGCACAACTCTATCCAAGAAAATCAGAAGTTCAGAGAGGAACTTACAGTTGGCTGCAGGCGCGATGGTGTAACCACCCTGTCGCCCAGCAGCAAAGGCATTTCCTGCTGGATTAGGAGATGAAATTCCAGTTGTAACTCATGGTTAAAAACAGATGCTGATATAATAGAGATACTTTGTAGAGTTACAAGTGTGGGGTCTTTTAGAATACTATGTCTTCCTCACTATTCCAAAAATCAACCATACGTGGTAGTAACGTTTAAAAAAAAAACAGCACAGATAAAGGAGACCGACTGCTAATCATAGAGAAATAAAGATGGACAGAGCTGAAAATTGTGTCTGAAAAGCAAAACCAGACCTGAAGTGCTTTAAACTTGCACTCTTTTTATTTGCCATATAGGGAAAACCTGACATCAGCTCCCACTCTGTGACCTCACTAAAACATTCCCTGCTTCAGGTCACAATCAACACAACTTAAAGGCCATTTTGTAAATTTTACAAAGGAGCATTATCCAGGGTACGCTCGTTGCTACTTGGCAATCACAAATCATTAGCCAATGAGAGTGCACTTTCGCAGTTCGACCTGCCCTTCGCACATCACATCAAATATCACGATGTCGATGGATTTCACTAATCAATCAGTGAAAACACGGAAATTCAGCTATGAAAGCTGAAAATGAAAATGATTTATTTGGTAGGAATCAGCGATGGGAGTTCCCAGTGGCCTAAAAATAAACACAATTCAGATTTTTCTTTATAGGAAACAAGGTTAAGTGGATCCTACTCACCATTTTTGGGAGCATCTTTGTTCCTTAAATGTGGAGGTATGTATCGCCCTGCAAAAGAGACAGACAGCCAAGAATCAGTCAGCGCTTACGTCACACTGCATTTATAATCAAATCTAACTAACCATTTCAAGGTTGACCCACAAATTATGACTGCAATGACAAAAGATTATTAAACTATAATGTAAAGAAAAACTTAAAGGTGACATGCAAATATTCATTTTCACATGGTTGCAACTAAATGTCACTGTATTAAAAACAGATGTTCTGCACTTAAATAAAAATCGATCACGTAACTGAAAAGTCACCGTGTTTAATGAATAATAAAAGATTTAAAGACAAAATTTCTTCAAAACCTTTGCATCATCCAAAGACATGCATATTTTAAGTTAACAGAAACATCTGCTTTCAGTATCACCACACAGCACCAGGGATGCATTTACACTGTACCACATGCAGACATACAGCAGTCACTTTTTTTTTTTTAAACCTGTTTGTTTTTATCATGACAAAATGAAAAATTCTAACAAAAACACAAAGGCTGCTTACTGCTATTGCCGCCACCTTGTCCGTCTGCAGCGCTCAAGTCTAGGACAGCGAGCTAGAGGGGGGAAAAAACAAAACACAAAAACAGAAAACGACTCACTGACCCACTTCAAGCAACCTAAAACTTTAAGTTACATTTTAACAAAATGAATTATCAAAGCTATCACTGCCCATTTCTTACATTAACTGGTCACATTACAAGTTGATTTTTCTCCATCATAGACACAAACACAGAGTAGCATTTCTGTAGTAATCTCCCTATTGGTTCTCAGTTGTCTAGGTTTTCAGTAGCTAATGCTACAGACAGCTCAGTGTCACTGGTATATGTATCCACCATCACCAACCCCAAGTCAATATTTTTCCTCTCGAATACCGTTTGTTCCCCTGTTTCTTTCTGTAGTTTTCCATTACACCCAAGCAACATTTAGTCCCATAAATTAAGAATGCCTGTAAAACCAAATAAGTGGAAACTAGTCTTTAGATTGTTAGGCAGGCTGTGTTTGAGACCAGACCACTTATCCTTAAGAGTAGGTGACACAGAGAGCTGCTGCCTACCTTTAAAAAAAACGTTTCTGTATAATAAGGAGTGTGAAAATTTTTCTTGCATGGACTGGTTTGAGTACTCAGATTTGACATGAAAAAAGAAAACTAGAAGTCATTTTTATTTTTGTGTTCTGCAGCAGACTTAAAAAACAAACAAAAAAAGAGCGAGGGAAAGGCAGACAGAGATGTGAGCTCCAGCGTGCTGAATTCCTATCATGATGATGTCAGCAAACTGCACCCAGCCACAGCTGGTCTGGGATACTGAGATGCGATGCTGGTGCGTCAAATCTCACTGCTGTCCAGGGAACAACTTTGTATTTAATGCTTTCATTACCAAAAATCTAACCGTTTTGGGGGGTGGCGGCGGTGACATTCAGCTTAAGCCAACTAAACTCATGAGGATGTATAAGTCGCTGAAATAGGGGCCTAGGTTGCGCATCACACTCCTTCTTAGACATTTTTCCCCAATAGGGGCTCTCCAAAATATCAACCGAGTACATGCAGTACTTTTCTGTTACCATCCAGCCAGACACAGATAGACTACGTTGCTGGTGACGCAGAAGAAATGACCATCTCTTAGCGGGACGCAGTCAACATAAAAACATGGAAGTCTGGAAAATGCTGCGTATCATCTAAAAGCCGGGGAGGGCGACAGTCACGCCGCATTGTTTGTGTAGCAAGCAGACCCGCAGGTTCCAGCCACATTGACCTCCATTTTATTATTATATCGAGCTGCAAGACAAGCGCAGTGGACGTAACAGTTGAGGGGTGCGTTTCATGTGTTCATATGAGGGGGCCAGAGGAACCACTCGTGCGTCATTTCGCATTTAGCTCTTCGTTTTAAAGAACACCGATCAGTCTAGCAGCAAAACACGGATGTTTTATTTCTAGAATGCAATTCAATAAAGGCATTCTTGGTCAGGTTGTAGAGGGGCCAAAACATTTTCCATGTCGTATGCTCCGCAGCCACCGTCAGACGTGTGCGCGAACAAAAGCAGCGCACCCGACGTTAAGCTAGCACAATAGCATACTGTTAGCAGACCCAGGCTAGCCGGCAAGCTAATGTTTACCACTGCCGTTTTTTTACATTACTTCTAAAGTGAACATTTAAGACATATAAAAGAAACACAGCTTACCTGCTGTTCTAGACCGTGGGCATTT